TTCCTACATTGCCTATCAGAAATTATTGGCAGTGTCACAGACTTAAAATACTTGCTGATAATTTGCTTTCATGGTTTAATTATTTGTTTTTTTTTCATGCCTCATCTGTTGTCAGAATGAATTAATCTGTTCACAGGTGGTTTTTTTTTTTCTTTCAATTTAATTATTAATTGTTATTTGTTTACCAAACTGCTATATTGTTGCCGTTTTGAACAATTCCTTTTGTGTATTGTTGCAGTTATGATAATTGTTTATATTTTTATATTGTTGCAGTTATGAACAAACTGAATTGGTATGTTGTTGCAGTTGTGATCGAATTTTAACTTTTGGACTCATTTTTAAATTGAAATATTGTTGGCAGTTATGATCATTTTTAAAAAATATTTTTATACTATTGCAGTTATGAACAAATTATTGGAATATTGTTGCAGTTGTGATCAAAGTTTTATTGTTATACTTCAGTTATGAACAAACTGTTGCTATACAGTTGTAGTTGTGCGATAATCTTTATACTGGTATATTGTTGTAGTTTTGAACTAAGAATATTAGTAAATTGCAGTTCTGAACAAACTATATTGGTATATTCTTGCAGTTAAGATGGTATATTCTTGCATTAAAACACTGTTTTGCACTTACGGCTGATTATTTGAATTAAAGCAGTGTTCAAACTTAATGATAATTTCATGGTTTTTACTTAACTTTCCACAGTATTTAAGTAAAGCTCCTTATTGAACATTAAAAGCTGAAGAAAATACAGAAAATCTCTTGTAAAATGAATTATGGAAAATTACTGTTATTTAATATGCCCGTTATTTAACGGTAATTTTCCGGCACCCCAGCTGCCGGAATTTTACCGTTTTTTTACGGGATTTTTTTTTTACAGTGTGGATCTCTTGCTATAATAAAATGCAATACTCCCACCTTGTGTGCTATTTCCTATGGAAGCTCGTTTCCTCCACTAAATAAAGAAATAATTAATTAATAAATAGCGGCTTTTTATTCCACAATTTTGACTTTTTTCTCAGAATTGCAAGATATAGCTAAACAATGCAAAGATTTGTGAGTTATAAAGTTTATAACTCGCATTGATTATATCTCGCAATTCTGAGAAGAAAAAAAGTCAGAATTGTAAGATAAAAAGCTGCA